AGGTCTTAAGAGGTTAATCTGCAGTTGGGCCAAAAAAAGATAACAACAGTGCATTTTACTGGAACACAATGCAATGTGGGAGTTCACATTTCCTTGTTCACTTGAGGTAAACCCTTAAAAACTGTGTACATGAGAAATGACTTCCTCAGTTTACAACACTGTCTCTATGAGATGCTGTCACATAAAGTTGGTCTAAAGTATTCATACTAATGCAGAATTTTGATTTATAATGTATTTGACCAGTATATTCCTTCTGGTTGGGAATGACATAAACACATAACAGAATGAGGTCACACGTTGTGTTACTGATAGACCAAAACTCAGGCGTTAATGGCTCCTTAGGATATAAGTATCTGGAACTCCCAACTAGTCAGTCAGAACTGATGAAGCCTCTTGGATGAGACGTGAAACATCTTCAAGGAACTCAAGCAAGTCCAGTTGCTACGATTAATCTACCAGAGTTACTGACAGAATTGATAAATTTCTATGTTTAGAATTATTTCGGTCATGGCTAACCTTTATACCTTCTCTCAAATTCTTAAAACAATATAAAAACAAATAAACAATCCATCATTCTTTTCTCAATGTTTTTATAGTTTATGTTAGAATAAAACTTTCAAGCTGCAGTGTTTTGTATCAGACTGACACGTTTCACTGTGAATTAGTGATTTTTGATAAAAGCAGGAACAACAAAAAACAATCAATGAAATCAGCCAGACAAATAAGGAAGAAGCAATATATCTGAAGGGCTTACTTGGTACGAACATATAAGATTACATAAAGACACAATCTTTTTTTGTTGTTTTTTTTTTTTAAAATCATACTGTTTATTATCTTGTATATTTCCATCAGTAAGTAAGTAAGTAATTATAATAGGACCAATAGAAAAAGCATCTATCCACTTGTAAAAACCAAATATATCACGGCAGTTTTCAGTGACTCCTATAACTAATTTTCTATGATGGAATAATTGAAACTCGTGATTTTTTGTCACAAAAACAACTGTGCTTCTTTCACAGATTCATTATAGTTCTTTTGGAAATATGATGAAATCTGCTGAGTCAAAAATACACATACAGAAACCTTACTATCAGCAGAAAGCTTCGATAATCAGATTTGCTTAGTTTCATGGCTTCTTAACTTCTCCTGAGTCCTTACAATTACAAACAGCTGCTGACTCCTCTAAGCCAGTTTAAATAGGACCCATTTGATCCACTTATTAGACTCAGCCACAAACACTACAGTCTGAGGAGCTCAGCACAGACCAGAGA